GTGTGTGACTGTCTGCGTGAGTGTGTGACTGTCTGTGTGAGTGTGTGAGTGTGTGACTGTCTGTGTGTGACTGCCTGTGAGTGTGTGACTGTCTGTGTGTGACTGTCAGTGTGAGTGTGTGACTGTCTCTGTGTGACTGCCTGTGAGTGTGTGACTGTCTGTGTGAGTGTGTGACTGTGAGTGTGTGACTGTCTCTGTGTGAGTGTGTGACTGTGAGTGTGTGACTGTCTCTGTGTGAGTGTGTGTGTGTGTGACTGTCTCTGTGTGACTGCCTGTGAGTGTGTGTGTGAGTGTGTGACAGTCTGTGTGTGACTGTCTGTGTGAGTGTGTGACTGTCTGTGTGTGACTGCCTGTGAGTGTGTGACTGTCTGTGTGTGACTGTCAGTGTGAGTGTGTGACTGTCTGTGTGTGACTGTGTGAGTGTGTGACTGTCTGTGAGTGTGTGACTGTCTCTGTGTGTGACTGTGTGAGTGTGTGACTGTCTGTGTGTGACTGTCTGTGTGAGTGTGTGACTGTGTGTGACTGTCTGTGAGTGTGTGACTGTCTCTGTGTGTGAGTGTGTGACTGTCTCTGTGTGACTGCCTGTGGCGTGTGACTGTCTGTGTGAGTGTGTGACTGTCTGTGAGTGTGTGACTGTCTCTGTGTGACTGCCTGTAGGTGTGTGACTGTCTCTGTGTGACTGCCGGTGTGTGACTGTGTGTGACTGTCTGTGTGTGACTGTCTGTGTGTGTGACTGCCTGTGAGTGTGTGACTGTGACTGTCTGTGAGTGTGTGACAGTCTGTGTGTGACTGCCTGTGAGTGTGTGACAGTCTGTGTGTGACTGTCTGTGTGAGTGTGTGACTGTCTGTGAGTGTGTGACTGTGTGACTGTATGTGTGTGACTGTGAGTGTGTGACTGAGTGTGTGACTGTCTGTGAGTGTGTGACTGTCTGTGTGTGACTGTCTGCCTGTGTGTGACTGTCTGCCTGTGCCTGTGTGTGTGTGACTGTCTGCCTGTGTGTGCGTGACTGTCTGCGTGTGTGTGTGTGACTGTATGCCTGTGTGTGTGCGTGTGTGTGTGTGACTGTATGCCTGTGTGTGTGTGTGTGACTGTATGCCTGTGTGAGTATGTGGCTGTCTGCCTGTGTATGTGTGTGTGTGTGGCTGTCTGCCTGGGTGTCAGTGACTGTCTGCCTGTGTGTGTGTGGCTGTCTGCCTGGGTGTCAGTGACTGTCTACCTCTGTGTGTGTATGTGCGCACATCTGCTAGTGAGGGAGCCTGTGTGTGTGTGTGTGTGCCTGCTAGTGAGTGAGCTTGTATGTGTGTCAGTGAGCTTGTCTGTAGGGATCATATGTGTGTGTGTTAGTGAGCTTGTCTGTAAGGAGCATGGGTGTGTCGGAGCCTGTCTGTGGTTAGCATGTGTGTACAGTGAGCTTGTCTGTAGTAAGCATGAGTGTGATCGTGAGCTTGTCTGTAGTGACCATATGTGTGTCAGTGAGCTTGTCTGTAGTGTGCATGTGTGTGTCAGTGAGCTTGTCTGTAGTGAATCTGTGTGTTAGTGAGCTCTTCTGTAGGGAGCGTGTGTGTCAATGGGCTTGTCTGTAGGGAGAGTGTGTGAGCATCAGTGAGCTTGTCTGTAGTGAGCGTGTGTGTGACAGTGAGCTTGTCTATAGTAAGCTTGTGTGTATCAAAGTTTGTCTGTACTAAATTTGTATGTGCGCCAGTAACCTTGTCTGTGTGTGTCATTGTCTGTCAATGAGCCTATTTGTGTGCATCAGTAAGATTGTCTGTCTGTGTGTGAGTATGCTTTACTGTATAATTTAATTACCCTAAAAGAACTAATATTTTGAATTAGAAGAAGAAACGTATCAATAAAAAAAAATATATATATATATATATTGTTGCATCACCAGGGCTCCAGTATATACAGGGAGTGCAGAATTATTAGGCAAGTTGTATTTCTGAGGATTAATTTTATTATTGAACAACAACCATGTTCTCAATGAACCCAAAAAACTCATTAATATCAAAGCTGAATATTTTTGGAAGTAGTTTTAGTTTGTTTTTAGTTTTAGCTATGTTAGGGGGATATCTGTGTGTGCAGGTGACTATTACTGTGCATAATTATTAGGCAACTTAACAAAAAACAAATATATACCCATTTCAATTATTTATTATTACCAGTGAAACCAATATAACATCTCAACATTCACAAATATACATTTCTGACATTCAAAAACAAAACAAAGGGGCGTGGCCAGGAAGCCGGAGGACATGGTCGCATGAGCGGAGAGCTCCGGATCCCGACCGGGAGATAAAGGGGGTAAGGGACCCACTATACCCAGAATGGCAGCTAAAAAACAGCGAAACACAACAGGGCAAGCCCCAGCAGTCGACACCCCGGCAGCAAAAACCTCCCTGAGAAGGTACTTCGCCGAACAGGCTGACCCGCACAGACGGGACAAAATGGCGCCCGCAGCACAAACACGCGGGAGCCAGCCATCAAGCCCGGCGGCATCAGAGGGTTCCACTGAGGATCAAGAAATCCGGACCCTGCTAACACAGCTGCCCTCAAAAGCAGACCTGGCAGCGATGTTCCAGAAACTGGAGGACAGCTTCAGTGAGAAACTGCAGGCAGTGGCAGCGGACGTGCAGCAGCTTGGAGCCAGAGTACAAGAACTAGAGGAGGAGGCAGAACACATCAACAAAAGAGGGGCTGAAGCCTATGACACCCAGGAAACACATGTAGAGGCAATAAGGTACCTACAAAGGAGGCTGGACGATGTAGACAACAGGGGACGCCGAAACAACCTACGGGTGAGGGGAATCCCCGAGAGCGCCGAGGGGGTAACAGAAAACCCCATTCAGGTTCTAACCACCCTCTTTAACCGCATCCTAACCAGACCTCAAGACACAGCCATCACCTTTGACAGGGCTCACAGGGCAGCTAGGCCCAGAAACCTCCCTCCGGATAAACCGCGAGATCTCATCTGTCGCATTCACAATTTCCCCTTAAAGGAAGAAATCTTCCGTAAAGCCCGCCAAAATAAAGATCTAACGATAGACGGTCAACCGGTAACGATCTTTCAAGACCTGGCTCCATCCACGTTACAAGCAAGACGAGCCTTGCGGCCTATCACACAGGCCTTGCTAGACAGACAAATAAAGTTCAGATGGAACTTCCCGTTTGCACTGACAGTCAACCTCCAGAACAAAACCCACACTATTACCTCACCAGAGGACGTTCCTGACTTCCAGAGGGCACTCAAACTCCCACCGTCCGAAGTGGAAGACTGGACAGGGCTGGCAACCAACCCGTCAAGACAGGCCTCACAAAAGCCCAAATGGCAAAAATCCCCGAGGAAAAGGCGCAGGCAGAACCACCCTGGTACCAACCTAAGCGCTCCAACCAGAGAAGAACCAACCTGAGAACTGTTACGGTCGTATAAGCGTACACTCATGCTCCATATGTTTCACTTATGTATATATCTGCTATCCCTCTTTCCCTCTGTCGATACTATGCCAGATATGTTTACCTTAAAAGGCCATGCCAATGCAACTAAATATTCTCTGCACTATGTAATCAATGTTACACTGCTATGCTATATTATGTTTTATTTAAAAATGTCATTAGTAACCGCTACCGGTCTCTAGGGCCCTGCATTAGGATTTTAGTAACGTTATTCAACCTTTGGGCCTCAGGAGACCGGGTCCACGGGGGTTAAACCGAGGTCGCTCTCACCGCATACCCCATAACCCCCCCGATAAGGTGGGTGAGGGGTAAGTGTATGACATTCATGACTGCCCCGCTGGAACCCCTGGATGCCCCCGGTCGGGAGATCCGACCACCACCCCCCAGAGAGGCGCCCCAACTCCACTTGTGGTCACGCAGAGCTACCCACAAGTGCAGCGCCAATCTCAACACCTGAGATGAACCTCTCATCTCAACCCTATGTAAATAGTTTTTGTTTTTCCCCAACTCCCTCCCCGGGTACCAACCCTGCCACCACAATACCACTAAGCACATCATTCACGGGTATGACCCTTGACTCATTAAATATGCTTCTACTGCTGGATCCACCACCATGATATATACAAAACTAATGTCCCTCAATGTACGGGGACTAAACTCACCTATGAAGCGCACGATGCTAGCACAAGAAATAGACAGACAGGGAGCCGAAATAATCTTCATACAGGAGACACACTTTAAGGGAGAGTTCAAACCAAAAATTCACTCCAAACGAAACAATATAGCCTATTATAGTAATAATACGCAAAAGAAAACCAGAGGGGTGGCAATATTACTAGCCTCCAATGCTGCGTTCACAGAAACGGGGGTTAAAACTGACCCTAGAGGCAGATTTGTATTTGTTAAAGGAGTATATAACGGTACCCTCATAACGCTAGCAAGCATATATGCCCCCAACGCTGACCAAGTATCCTACATACGGTCATGTTTGACTAAACTGGACGCATTTGCTGAGGGGGTAGTTTTAGTAGGCGGGGACTGGAATATGGTATTAGACCACGCATTAGATAGCTCCTCTCTATCCTCGGACCCTAAGCAACACCAAAGAACACTATTTTCGACTGCCTTACGTACTCACCAGCTCGTAGACTGCTGGCGTATACTACACCCCCAAGACAGAGACTACTCGTTTTATTCCCAGGCAGCCAAAAGCTACTCCAGAATAGACATGTTTTTACTTAGCCACAGACATCTCCCACTACTAAAAGACGCATCCATAGGCAATATCACGTGGTCTGACCACGCTCCAATTTTCCTGACGGTCACTCTCCAGAGAGAACCCAAACCCACGACACACTGGCAACTTAACGAAACCCTACTTGATGACCCCAGAGTTCTAGACGACCTGCGACAGACGGCAGGAAACTATTTCTTAGAGAATGGGAATACTGAGATATCAGACCCCTGGGTTTGGGAAGCCCATAAAGGAGTTATCAGAGGCACCCTTATCAAATGGGGCTCTAGAATCAAGAAAGAACGGACCCTCAAAATGGACTCTCTCATAGCAGACATACACTTAGCCGAGGCCACACACAAACAAGACCCCACGAATGATAACTTCCAGAAGCTAACAGCCCTACGCATAGAGTTAAGATCGCTACTAACCGCAAAGGCATATAGATCCACTCAACTGACAAGGAGCACCTTTTATGCTCATGGTAACAAGAGTGGGAAACTACTAGCTAGAGCTTTGAAAGCCAAACGGCAGAGATCGTTCATAGACAAAATATCAGATGACACAGGTAGGCAACACAACACTACAGAAGATATAGCCAAGGCGTTCAACGCCTTCTACACAAACCTTTATAACCTACCCCCCCCCAAAACACAGAACCACAACCTGAGGGAATACATCTCGGCAAACCTGCCACGCAAGATCCCAGACGACCAAATACACACATTAGATGAACCATTCACACAAACGGAATTACTCGCCACGATTAAGGCACTGCCGAAAAGTAAAAGCCCCGGCCCAGACGGACTGACCGCCAGATACTATCAAACACTCTCGCAAGAACTATCCCCCCACTTTCTGAAAACATTAAATGGCCTAACCCAAGACACCCCCCTCCCACCCCCGATGCTACGGGCATCTATCACTATCATCCCCAAGCCGGGCAAAGACCCCACTAAATGTGGCAGTTATAGACCCATTTCACTAATAAATCTAGACCTCAAACTAATGGCAAAGATGATCGCCAACAGGCTTAAACCCCTCTTACCGCACCTAATCCACCCTGACCAAGCGGGCTTTGTGCCAGGCCGCGAAGCTAGGGATAATACCACGAAAATTCTAAATGTCATCCATGGAGCAACGGTGACTAAAACACCTACTCTGCTGATGGCTATTGACGCTGAAAAAGCCTTCGACAGGGTGGATTGGTCTTACTTATTTACGGTCCTAGAAATATTGGGGATGGGCCCAAGACTGAGGAATTGGATACAAACCCTGTATAGGGGACCCTCAGCCAGTGTTAGAGTAAACGGCCACCTATCGACGCCGTTTCCGATAAACAACGGTACTCGACAAGGCTGCCCCCTCTCGCCCCTGTTATTTGTCTTGGCCATGGAGCCTTTCCTGAACGCAATCAGGTCTCGCGCTGAAGTACGGGGATATAGATTTCAGGGAGGGGAGGTGAAGGTATCCGCCTTTGCGGACGATGTCCTATTCACGCTCACAGACCCGACCAAATCACTACCACACATAACAAACGAAATCGAAACCTTTGGTTCCCTCTCGAACTTTAAGATAAATGCTGACAAATGCGAAATACTGGGAATAGCTATACCACCGTACCTGAAAACACGAATACAACAAAGACATACCTTCCCATGGACTCGGACAGGACTGACATACTTGGGGATACTACTCACCGCATCACCCATGACCTTATACAAACTAAACTATCCCCCCCTTATAGACAAGATTAAACGAGACCTCCAAAAATGGGACCAACCTTACTTCTCCCTGATGGGACGAGTCAGCATCCTGAAAATGATGATTCTCCCGAAAATACTATACCTCTTTCAGGCCCTACCGATCCCTCTCCCAGAGACATTCTTCAGACAGATGCGGACAATTTTCACCAAATACATCTGGGGCAACAAACCAGCAAGGATAGCTTTCACCACACTAACCTCCACCACAGACAGGGGGGGCCTGGGACTGCCACACTTATACAAATATTATGTTGCAGTTTTGCTCACCCGACTAAAGGAATGGACAGACACCAAAAGGAAAAAGTCGTGGTACACATTAGAACAGAGCTTTACACCTGTCCCCCTACACACCTTGCCGTGGCAAATCTGCAGCCTACCGAAACTCACCACGACACGACACCCACTCATACACAATGTCCTCACAATATGGAGAAGACATAAAGACCAATGGAGACTGTCACCGGGACTGTCAAGGTTCTTCCCCATAGCAGACAATCCTGATTTTCAGGGGGGTGGAGGGGGACCACTCCTTTCTCACCTTGTGGGAACGCCTACCCCGGACATAACCGAACTGATAGGGGGAGACCCACCCACGGTCAAGGCCATATATGGAGCACATAGACAAGACACATTCATTGAGGTGATAGGCAAAGCCCAACTCAGGAATTTCCTGAAAAGAACCGCTATTCCCCTCTGGAAATAGAGAGCAGACACGCCCTTTGAACACCTCTGTGGCCCAGAGGGAGACCCCAGACGCCCTTTATCTAAAGTCTACCGCATCCTCCAGAGCCCAATGGAGGAACACAAACCACTATCCTTTCAACAGAATTGGATGAAAGATCTCAGAATTCATATCTCTGACAAAGACTGGCCAGGGATCATGGAAAGGGGAATCAAAACCCCAATCAGTGTAGCACACAGGGAGACATTCTATAAAAGAATCACCAGGTGGTACAGGACCCCAACCCGATTACACTCTATATGGCCATCAATCAGTAACATTTGCTGGAGATGCTCCACCGGGCCGGGAACTATAGAACACATTTGGTGGAGTTGCCGAGACATTCAGAGTTTCTGGCACCTAATAATCGCCAAAATAACCAGGATACTTAAACCTCCGACCCGACTTACACCATCCCAAGTACTACTAAGCTGGCCCCGCACATTTACGGAACCCCACAAACAACAACTGCTACACCTATTACTAGGGGAAGCAAACGCCCTTATCCCGCTAAACTGGCGGAATACCAACACCCCATCCGTAGAACAGTGGGTACAAAGGGTAGAACGAACCAGAGAACTAGAAGACATCCACTGGACCTCAATAGGGAAACGACAGAAATATCTCCAGAGATGGGAGCCCTGGATAGGGTTCTGGAATACAGCCCCAGGGGAAAAGACCACCCCGCTCTCCTAGATTGACCACCTAGAGATCCAGGAAATGAGCCAATAGACACTACCGATTACATAACCAACACAAGGACCATGAATACCCACCACACCAGGCAGGTCCCCCTTTCGACCCACTTCCCAATCCACTCCCCATTACTCCCCAACCCCTCCGACTGGTTGCTACCCCGAGTTACCTCTTAACCCCCCCATAGGTTTTAGTCAAAGACAACAGCACCATCCGCAAGACGATACCCAAGATGATGCAATAAATCTAAAGTTAACTGTAGCCGGGTTTGTCTTAGTCTCAGGCAAGGAAGGAAGTATATTTATATGCACATACTGTTATATAACCCTGATTTGTTACTACAGAATGCTTCCCTCTTCTTTTCTGTACCCCATTACATGTCTTTCGAAATAAAAAAAAACTGAAATTAAAAAAAACAAAAAAAAACAAAACAAAAACAAATCAGTGACCAATATAGCCACCTTTCTTTGCAAGGACACTCAAAAGCCTGCCATCCATGGATTCTGTCAGTGTTTTGATCTGTTCACCATCAACATTGCGTGCAGCAGCAACCACAGCCTCCCAGACACTGTTCAGAGAGGTGTACTGTTTTCCTCCTTGTAAATCTCACATTTGATGATGGACCACAGGTTCTCAATGGGGTTCAGATCAGGTGAACAAGGAGGCCATGTCATTAGATTTTCTTCTTTTATACCCTTTCTTGCCAGCCACGCTGTGGAGTACTTGGACGCGTGTGATGGAGCATTGTCCTGCATGAAAATCATGTTTTTCTTGAAGGATGCAGACTTCTTCCTGTACCACTGCTTGAAGAAGGTGTCTTCCAGGAACTGGCAGTAGGACTGGGAGTTGAGCTTGACTCCATCCTCAACCCGAAAAGGCCCCACAAGCTCATCTTTGATGATACCAGCCCAAACCAGTACTCCACCTCCACCTTGCTGGCGTCTGAGTCGGACTGGAGCTCTCTGCCCTTTACCAATCCAGCCACGGGCCCATCCATCTGGCCCATCAAGACTCACTCTCATTTCATCAGTCCATAAAACCTTAGAAAAATCAGTCTTGAGATATTTCTTGGCCCAGTCTTGACGTTTCAGCTTGTGTGTCTTGTTCAGTGGTGGTCGTCTTTCAGCCTTTCTTACCTTGGCCATGTCTCTGAGTATTGCACACCTTGTGCTTTTGGGCACTCCAGTGATGTTGCAGCTCTGAAATATGGCCAAACTGGTGGCAAGTGGCATCGTGGCAGCTGCACGCTTGACTTTTCTCAGTTCATGGGCAGTTATTTTGCGCCTTGGTTTTTCCACACGCTTCTTGCGACCCTGTTGACTATTTTGAATGAAATGCTTGATTGTTCGATGATCACGCTTCAGAAGCTTTGCAATTTTAAGAGTGCTGCATCCCTCTGCATGATATCTCACTATTTTTGACTTTTCTGAGCCTGTCAAGTCCTTCTTTTGACCCATTTTGCCAAAGGAAAGGAAGTTGCCTAATAATTATGCACACCTGATATAGGGTGTTGATGTCATTAGACCACACCCCTTCTCATTACAGAGATGCACATCACCTAATATGCTTAATTGGTAGTAGGCTTTCGAGCCTATACAGCTTGGAGTAAGACAACATGCATAAAGAGGATGATGTGGTCAAAATACTCATTTGCCTAATAATTCTGCACTCCCTGTATATGTATATATATATATATATATATATATATATAGGCAATTTAAATAGTTGGCTGCACTCTCGGATTTCCTTAAAATTTTACTTTTATTGAAATATTTAAGAGAAGATCAACGTTTCAGTCCCTCTTGTGGACTTGCATCAGGATCATGACGAAAGTCCAAAAGAGGGACTGAAACATTGATCTTCTCTTAAATATTTCAATAAAAGTTACATTTTCAGGACATCTGAGAGTGCAGCCAACTATTTCAATTGCATATATATATATATATATATATATATATATATAAATAAACACCCTACATAGCACAATGACTTATGGGACTGGCATAGATTTTTTTCCAGGGCTGCTTCGTATCCCCAGTCCGGCCCTGCCCCCCTGGCCCCAACCCTAAGGGGTGATTGGGGGCCCTAAAGTAGAATAAGAAGGGGGGCACCTATTGTCCTCCCCCTGGCCCCCACCCCAGTTCTCTTGTAATTGTCCTATTTATAGTTAAATCCCCCCTCTCATAATGTAGTAAAGTGCTACGGAATCTGTTGGCGCTATAAAAATGGCAATAATAATAATAAATACAAATTCTCTAATAAAACATACTCCAGGATCTATAAGAGTTAAAATAGTGGGTAACTCTTAGCTTTATATTAATCAAGGGGAACAGTACCAATATATCAATTTTGATATAATAAAAATTATTAAATACATTTTTGATCATTTTTATGAAAATATTATTTTAAATATTTATCACCCCATAAATATTCTCACAATATGAGCATTTACATACTTGGGAGTACAAATGACCAATGACCCCACTGAATTGATGGAGTGCAATTTTATGTTTTTATTGAAATCCACTAGCAAAACATTAAAAGAATAGAAGAATAAAGAGTTCTCATGTGGAGGAAGAATCAGTGTTGTAAAGTCGTACATCATGGCCAAGTGGCTGTATCGTCTTAGAATGGTCCCAATATGTTGTCCAGATAGTTGGCTAAAACTAGCGCAATCAGTACTTTATAAATATGTGTGGCTTGGTATAAAGCCCCGTATTAGTGCTAAACGTCTAGCATTAAAATCGAATCAAGGAGCGTTGGGAGTTCCCCAGCTAAAAGTAATTTGGCAGGCATGTGGCTTGATGCATGCCATTATGACCCAAATATCCTGGGTAAGAAATGAGGTTTGGTATATTATAGAGTCATCATTGTTAAAAACTAATGGAGATGTTACTGTACACAACTACGACATGATCTTTGTACCTAACAGTGTCAACTGGACGCAATGTAGGATTTCACCCTGTTTGACTTAATAAAAATTATATATAGTAAAAAAAAATAACTAATGGAGAAATGAAGCTAGAATCAATTTTTTGGTTGAAAGGAGATTAAAAAAATAATAATAAGATATCCACAAACAAATTGTTAAAAAGTATTGTAATTGAAAATCTTTTGACTATTTGGGACAAATTTAAAATGGATTGCCACTTTGCTGATAAGAGTTTAGCTGTTCTGCCTTTGAGTCATCTAACATATAATATTGAAGATCGTAATCTAAACAGTTGGTTCTCCTCTGGAATAGATACTATTAAAGATCTGTTGAAGAATAATATCATTCAAGACTTTTCCACACTTTCTAAAAAAAAAATGAAATTACAAAAGAAAGACATTTTTAAATATTTGAGAGTAAAGAGCTACCTAGATAACCACCTAGTTACTGTCAAAAATAATCAAATTCTTAAGTTAGAGAGTATGTTTAAAACCAATACTTTGAAAAGATTAGCAGCAGACTCTATAACTTTGCTAACCGAGGATGATGTGACACCTCTCCTAAATGTTATTAAAAAAATGGGAACGGGTGGCGGGGCCTGACTGCAGAGCCGAACAGATGTACATATCTGCAGCTCCAGCACTGCCGAGCTAAATCGCCTAATTTCTGCACTGATAAAGGCTGAGAACCAGCTCATCTTGCTGTCCAAACGACAGAGGACCGGGAGACCTACACAAGAGTACCGAAAATGTGGTGTTACTCACCGGCCTCAACTAAACGACTGCCATGGCCTACCAGCATGGATGGCGCGAGGGAGACAGACGTTCCCCGACCACCACGCCTTGCTGCGTACACCAGTGTGGAACCCCGTTTCTCCCCCCCCCATGGACTGCCTGGGGTTACCTCGGTCCCCACCGACCCAAAGCCATCGGCTACACTGCCTCCTGCAGCCCACCAAGTTACCCACATGAAACCCACAAAGTCAAACAAAATGGCGGGCGCACCATGGTCGTCGGTGCGAGAGCCTCAGCAACTAAGAGATAACTATGTGACAGAAGCGCTAACACGTCTGGACAAAATCTTTGACAGTTTTTGGGAGAAACTGCACCAACGCATGGCATTACCGCCACTGTGGCGGAACCAACCTCGCCACTGGCCACTGCAGGAGCCTGGTCGCCCGCCTCCTGCCGCTGGACTATGGCTCCATGTTTAACACTGTTCGTGCCTTTCTGCGGACTGTTAAAGTCACGAACACCGCTGAGCCGCCGACCTCCCTTCTCCTACCTGCAGTCAATTATCCGAACAACGGTCCATTCAGTACTTTACTGTTTAAACCAAGCTACCCCAGATAGCTATGCCATGGAGCCCAGCCGTATACTGAAAGACTGCATGAAAGACTTTGGCTCCATGGTGATTGAACTGTACGTATGTGATCTGAGCGCCATCCGGTAATAATGCGATCTTAGATCTAAGCTATCTGGGGATAGGTAGAATGTGTATGTTCTATGTGATAAATGTAACAGTATGTATTTTTATGTCTTTTATTGTCCTTTGTCTGCCATGTGGTTAATGGAGTTTTGCCTCTGTCCTTTGAAATAATTGGATTACTTCCCAATTATCTCCAATGCAACGCATTGTGGGATTGTAAACTTGTGATTGGTCAATGTCCAATATGTTTCCTAGTCTTCCATCTGGTCCCCTAGGGGAATGCCCACCAGGTGGAAGACCTGCATAAAAGCCTGGCAGGTAGCCCCAGTAAATCAGTTCTGCTTGACCCTCAAACGAAGTGTTGTCTCGTTCTTGGGGGGAATTGGATTGTATGCTGTTACAGTGCGACTGCCAGGAGTGTAAACTGTTCGTATGGTTTTTCCTGTTAGGCCGTTTACAGCATTCGTATGGTTCCGGTTCGGGAGTTAGAGAATTTGTGTGTTTCCAGTTTGGGAGTTGGAGACTTTGTGTGTTTCCAGTTCGGGAGATTGGTGCTTGCAGTAGCTGCCTGTGTATCTGGAAGGGGAATATCACCTAAACGTTTTTTAACCTCTTGTGTGCAAAACGGTCCGTTACAGCAACTTCCACCCAGTGCTGGATTAAGAGCCCAGTGGGCCTGGTGCTGACAATTATGAGGGGCCTAAGTACAGAATCTTATCGACCAAAAACACTGAAACAGACATACCTCTCGGGCATTATGTATCTGGTGGAGATGTTGCCGGAGAGAAACTCATAGGGTGCAGCTATAAAAAAAACTTCATATTCTCTTAAAATATGCTAATCTCTCTCTAATTCATGCTTTCATCTTTCATGTAAATCCATACTCCCCAACAGCAGTGTCCAATGAAGCAGGAAGTCAATGGGCGGTGTAAAAGGGAGGGCCAGTGACGTGGATCATGTAACCAGAACTTCCAAAAGGGACAAACATACCCAAAGAGGGGGCATGTCTGCCCAAAGAATTGGAAGGCTAGTCTAGCATGAATGCATGTCAGGCTGCCTGCCAATCATGCTGGCCAACAGCTTCCTGAGCTTGGCATAAATGCATCTAATGATGAGCTCGCTCAATGCTTTCTAAGGACTGTCCCCTAGTACTTGCTGGTCCACTTCTATCCTAATCTACTTACTAGCAGGCAGAAGCTCCTGGTATACAGTCTGAGACAGAGAAAAGGATGTAGTGAGTGTAGAAGAAAGGGAACATGGCACAGTGTTAGAGAGACCAAAGTCGGCATTACCTTAACTAATTTCATTTCAGCTAGTCCACACAAGTTTTGTTCCTCTATATCCCACTTAAGTTTCCATACTTAAGCAAGAGTATGCGAAGACTAATTAGGGTTGCCACCTTTCTTGGAAAAAAATTACAGGCCTTGCTAATTTGCATAACTAATTATGTATGCGTGACTTCACAGGATGTAAAAAGGAGTGACAGAGTAAATTCTGTGAAATCACCAAAAAACTACTTAGTTTGATTCTGCTGTATAGATGGATTGTTCCCAGTGTCCCCATGTCACCCAGTGTCCCCTAGTGTATGTGCCCCCATGTCTCCCAGTGCCCCCATGTCACGAGGGGACACTGTGAGACAGGGGGACACTGAGACTATGCATCACAATGTCTCTGTATCCCCATGTCTCTGTGTCCCCATGTCTCTCAGGGACACTGAGAGACATGGGGACACAGAGACATGGGGACACAGACACTGGGAGACATGGGGACACTGAGACATTAGGGATACTGGGAGACATGGACATACAGAAACTAGGGACACTGGGAGACATGGGAACACTGAGAAACTAAGGACACTGGGAGACATGGGGACACTGAGACACCAAGGACACTGGCTTGGAGACATGGGGACAATGAGACATTTGGGGACATTGTGTTCTTAGTGTCTGTGTCCCCATGTCTCCCGGTGTCTCAGTGTCCCCATGTGTGTCTGTTTCCCCATGTCTCAGTGTCCCCAGGTGTGTCTTTGTCCCCATGTCCCCTAGTGTCTCAGTGTCCCCTAGTGTTTCAGTGTCCCCATGTGTGTGTTTGTGTGTGTGTGTCCTTGTCTCAGTGTCCCCATGTGTGTCTGTGTCCCCATGTGTGTCTGTGTCCCCATGTCTCTAAGTTTCCCCAAGTGTCTCAGCATCCCCAGAGGTCTCCATGTGTCCCCATGTCTCATAGTGTCCCCTAGTGTCTTAGTGTCTCTGCAGGCTGGGAGCTGCTGTCTGGACTCTTTGTGCTGTGTAGCTGCTCCCCTGCGGATCACTGAGTAGAGCAATGCAGGTATATGCTGTAACTTCCTATCCCTGCCTCTCTCCACACACACAGTGACCCCTACTGGCTGGTAATGGTATTGCAGAATAATCTCTGTTTATACTGTATTGCCGGTATTACTGGAATATCGGCACCGGCCAGGCAGCCTCAAATAAATAAATACCGGCCAGGTGAACAACCTTAAGAGTAGTGTGTAAAAAAAAAAAAAAAAAAGTAAATGTTTTTCAAATTTTTATTTTTTTAAATCAATGGGCCTATTCCATGGGCCTGGGCCTGGGCCTGGACCTGGAGCTGCAGCTCCATCAGCCCCTATGTTAATCCGGCCCTGCTTCCACCTAACCATTAGCCGAGGGAGAGGTGGACAGGAGGGTGAGCCGCTTTCAAAACGCTACACACCCAAGCCACTGCTGTTCCGGAAGGCCCTAAAGCTGACCAGAGAACACCTCCAAAGCAACGCACAACTCGCAGGCAGACCGCCCGCCGCTGGCGGCAACGAAATACAGCAGCCAACTACTGAGCACGAAGAGGGACATACATGCAGTACCTGTGGAGAGATGACATTGACCTACCCAAGGGCATGGGTCTGGACGGAGGCCTCCACTAGCTCGTACCACACCATAGCCCCAGGGATCCAGCACTGCAAGAGACCCGCATGGCAGACCCACAGAACCCAACTCTTTATCCCAAAGGGGAGGAGCCTGGAAACAGCGAAACCTCGAACACATGAGAGGTCGGTGCCCGCTAGCCGACAAATCCGTAGCGGGGGCGGCTCCTCATCTGGGCTCCCCCTACCATTCAGCGCACCAGCTTGGGACTTTAAACCCCGCACTGGTAAGGGTTGAATGCGCAGCTTGGTGACCCTGGAGGGTCTGACCCATGACCCATGGACTCGAAACCCATTAGATGGCTGCGGGAGGCACCTCTCACGCAAGGCAACCCCTGGTGCCAGATTGGGCACAAGCGAGTATTGACTTGAAGTATCTAACCCAATACCTCACCGTTATTACTGCCATGTTTAATTTATAACATGTACCAAACAACAATAATTGTGCCGTTCTTGTATACCAAGATACTGTTTTCTTTAGGTATTGCTCTACTAGCTAGTAACTGTGGCTGTGACACTATAATGCATGACTTGCTCTCTGTTAACCCCATAACCACTTCTTTACTGAGCTAGATACCATACTTATCCACAGTACACAAGGCATGCAGGTTCCTTAGCCTACCGTTACACTATCTACAAAAAAGCACTGCCTTTTGACGGTTAGTTATACACAGCACTGACCACCCCACTAATTGCTATGCACTACTGTATAGAATGACTTGATACTCCTGGCAAAGACTCTCGTTAACCCTTACATAAAAATGGGACCTCATGATTGGGAGTTAAAAGGTCCTATACATAGCTGTGGAACACAATGGCAATCTGTGGTTAATAATCCTGAGCACCACAGACAATACCACTTTGGGGGTCAACACCGTACTGAGACACTTCAGTTAATCAGCTTGATTATTTGCTCAGAACCTAGCTCCTAATACACACGTAACTTTATAATCAGTGAACGCCGCATGCCTACTGCCAAAGCAGTCCGGGCCCCCCAGGACAGCCGGGCCCGTGACAACCGTCATGGTTGTCATCCCCTGATGGCGGCCCTGATCATGATCATACAGATAGATGTTGGAGATATGAAATAGATAAAGGAAGATTGGCCCATATTTGGTGGGATTGTCAACCAATCCAACTGTTTCGGCATATGACCTATATTAAAATACTGCTTAATAGGTCCTTTATATTTGAAGCTAAACTATTTTTACTCCATGTAAATGTACTTAATATCTTTGACCAGTATTCTTTTATAGTTTTCCATATTTTGACTGCAGCAAAACTAATGCTAGCCAAAAAATTGGAAAAGTGTTGTTGGCATGTTGGCCTCTAGTTAAAGAGCAGTTGTTATATGAAATAAGGATGGAGAGGGGTATATGTAAATCATCTGACGATAACTATGAATTCTGGTTGGTCCAATAAAAGATTAAAGATAAAAATAGAAAGAAAAGTACTTATGTTTTGTAGATTTGTGCATTCGGCTTCAAATTGACATTCCTCGGGGGCGGAGCCTAGCTTCCAAGCTGCATGGACGTGCCGAGCTTCAGCTCCTGACACAAGCCACAGAATTGAGGGGAAAAAACCCAGAAAATCGTCTCGTACACCAGCTGGAAGGTGATAACCAAGACTGGGACACCCAGGTGAATTGATTGATACCAAGCTTGTAACAAACACAAACCGGGAACCCGCAAACAGTGCATGGGGCCTACCTGTCATGGAGCCGGGGAGAGGTGGCCGCTCTCCTCGCTGGCAAACCTGAACACTGTCCCTCTGCTTACTCACCTCCTACCCCCCACCCACACAGCACCTACACACATACAGCACACACAGATACACAGCACACACACAGCACCCACATGCACACACAGCACACACATATATATAGCACCCACACACACACACACACAGCACACACACACAGCACCCTCACACACATTCACCACACACATACAGCACACACACAGTGGGGGGTAGATGGGTAAACAGGAGCGGAAAGCTACTTAGTGGACCTGCAGGTATGGGATAGTGAGCAACTTCGCGGAAGGGAACGGGGGGGACCCAGAGGGGAGGGGGGGGTAAAAGATGGGGACTGGGGGTCAGGCCACGGGAGTCAGGGCTCTGTCTGCTAATTCCCTGTAAGAGAGCCGGGACGGGCACACAGGCATTACTAGCCTGACATGCCATAATTGCACTCAACTTGTTACTTATGTTTGTTTGCCAATATTTGAAATGGATCTTTTACATTTAACTTGAATGTCAGCAACAATGGGGCGCAGTGGACAGAAGTTCTCCGAATGATACACACACTTTTACCCACTTGGTCGGGGCCGAACCACGCACCTCACACCACACTCGTGCTTACCCCTATACAGTGGAACCCTGTGGGCCCTCACCTATCGGTCTGGTCACCGGGGCAGACCCGTGGCGTTTACGGCCGTAGCGTGAGTCACCTTTCTACCAGAGGTGGACCAACTGAGATACCTACTGTCTTAGTTGCAGCACCCGACTGATCGGGCGACTGTCTCTCTTTCTTTTCTTTCTCGAATTTCCTTCCCTACTCACCCTTACCCATCCTGCCTTTTTACCTATCTCACTCCACTCCTGTTTCTCTTCTTCGGGTCCGCACCGGGGGGCCAGGTCCCTCACGGGGGCTGGTCGGGAGGGGGAGGAGACCAAGCAATGAACCTCTGCAATAAGTCTGGGGCCGCGGGAACGTATCGCCCCGCCCCCCTGTCTGTCCTCACCCTCAATTGCAGAGGGCTAAACGCGAAGAACCCACCTGCTGCGAGAGATGAGGAAAAGGCACATATCAATCGCACTGCTACAGGAAACGCACTTCCGAAAGGGCTCCGCCCCCAAACTGCAGAATAAATATTACCCGACAAACCACTTTTGCGATCATCCTACGATCCAGAGGGCTGGAGTTGCCATTTTAATCGCAGGAGAGCTAGAATTCCAACTGCTGGACGGCCTGCACGATGACCAGGACTGTTTCCTCTTCCTGAAAGGGACGATAGCGGGTATGCTCTACACACTCGCCAATATCTACACACCCAATAGAAGACAGGCTCAGTTCCTTAGGGTTACACTAGACAAATTGAATTGCTTCTCTGAGGGCACCTTGGTTCTTGGAGGGGACTCAACGCACATCTAGACCCCATCATAGACTCGTCGACGGGTCACAGTAGCATTACTCAACTCAATATACGCTCCATGAGGAGAGCCCTAGGAGACATGGACCTCGTAGACTGCTGGAGGGCCCTCCATCCCACTACTAGGGACTTCACTTACTACTCTGCGCTGCATAATAGATACTCCCGTATTGACTATATCTTCATACAACAAATAGGATTAACGCGACTGCTATCTGCCAAACTTGACCCAGCGAAGTGGTCGGACCACGGCTCCGTCACCATCGAGCTTGAGTCACCCCTCTGCATGGACTTGGAGACTCAATGAGGCCCTCCTTCTCGACCCTGAGACTCGTGGGCAGGTAACCGAAGAACTGGAACACTATTTTCAGGAAAACGACACGCCGGACGCCTCCCCTGTCTCTATATGGGAGGTGCACAAAAGCGTAATCAGGGGCACACTCATCCGAATAGCTTCCAAAAAGAAAAAGGCGGCTTCATGAGAAATGGCAGATCTCTACAAATCTATCACGACATTGGAACAGCAACCCAAGAGATCCCAACTGATGGAGACGTACGGAGAACTAATGCAAGCCAGACGCCAACTGAGAGACCTCCTCACGAAACGCCATCTATGAACCTTGCAACACTCTAAAGGGTTCTTCTATGCGCATGCCAAAAAGGGGGAAGATGCC